TGGGCTAATTACAGAGTGAACAATTCACCCACTCGGACGTCACCACTTTCTGTATTGTCCGAAACTAAATGAACTTGAAATGATCTGTGAGTGGGCCGGTTTTAACAACCACTCAGGATGGTTAAATTAAAGGTCCACCCCTGCGTCTGTGACCATCATTACACCCGTGGTGTTTACTGAGAATGTGATGACTAATGTCCTGAAAAGAAGGTGACAATTAATAATAACAGCCATAACGAAACTGCTGGCAGCAGAAAATTATTACATTTTTTTCCCCTGCTGTATTACTGTAGTTATTTTTTAAGCAGTTAAAAAATAATCACTAACGTAGATATAGATGTGACTTGGTTACTGAAAAGTATGTTAAAGGGTTCATAGGATGCCCATTTTCCACAAGATGATATGATTCTTTCGGGTCTTAATGAAAAGTCTGTAACATGGTTTGGTTAAAATTTCTCAATGGTAGTGTAAAAAACACCTTTTTTACCCTGTCAAAAACAGCTCTTTTCAGAGCAAGCCTGTTTTGTATCGACCCCCAAAAGCTGCACCATAAGGGGGCCATTCTACAAGATGTCTGCCCTCTTGCGGGTATGGCCCATTCCACACATGTCCTCCCTCAAGGAAAGGCAGCTCTCACTCTGGCTGGATGAGGATGGGGCCATTTCTCTCAGGAACACATGGGGGAAGAGACAGGAGTCAGCCGACACACTGAGCTGACATCTACACAGATTAATCAAACAGCGTCCTTTTCAGAAAACATTTGGATGAGAAAATATGTTTTAAATATGAGATCAAATAAATCACTCATCTTTCTGAAGCGACACTATATCCAACAGAGGAAGCAGTACCTGCGTCACTTTGATGGGCTGATTATAGTCAATGAGATAATGCCTGGCTATCATGTTCACACACTGCCTGCAAACCGGCTTGAAATGGGTCAAACTGGCGGCAATGGATGGGCTAATTACAGAGTGAACAATTCACCCACTCGGACGTCACCACTTTCTGTATTGTCCGAAACTAAATGAACTTGAAATTATCTGTGAGTGGGCCGGTTTTAACAACCACTCAGGATGGTTAAATTAAAGGTCCACCCCTGCGTCTGTGACCATCATTACACCCGTGGTGTTTACTGAGAATGTGATGACTAATGTCCTGAAAAGAAGGTGACAATTAATAATAACAGCCATAACGAAACTGCTGGCAGCAGAAAATTATTACATTTTTTTCCCCTGCTGTATTACTGTAGTTATTTTTTAAGCAGTTAAAAAATAATCACTAACGTAGATATAGATGTGACTTGGTTACTGAAAAGTATGTTAAAGGGTTCATAGGATGCCCATTTTCCACAAGATGATATGATTCTTTCGGGTCTTAATGAAAAGTCTGTAACATGGTTTGGTTAAAATTTCTCAATGGTAGTGTAAAAAACACCTTTTTTACCCTGTCAAAAACAGCTCTTTTCAGAGCAAGCCTGTTTTGTAGCATTTTCTTTTAAATGTTAATGAGCTCTGGTGACCCCGCCCCTCTCTTCCGAGCTGCTCTCAGAGAGACTGTTTACTTTAGTAATTCATCGTGAAACTTGCTAATTAGCACATTATTAGGAAAGGCGATTTGCAAAGATTCATTACAAAACATTATTCTCACTTCTTCCGTCTTCAGCGGCTCAGATGTCGGGAGTAAAAGACGACTGCTATGTTCATTATTACATCCAACAACAGAACACCTCAATCGCTTAGGAGTCATTCTTGTCTACATCTGCTCCGGCGGTGAAACAATGGAGGACTGACGACAGCTCACTCAGGGCGGGTCTAAGGTAAGACGCCAGTCCAGTCTGTGCTGAAACGCTACTGTCAATCAAACTATAGTGGGAGGGGCCTGTCTGTGTGACATCACACAGAAAGGCATCTGAATACGGGTCGATTTTGGGAAGGGGAAAATAATAAAACATTTAACCAGATTTAAAAAAAAAACACTGGGGGGGTTTTTATCATTGTAGGGTGGTTGTGTACACACACTCCCAACACGCATTTCAGTTCAAACAACTTGTAAAAGTGCATGTAGCATCCTATGACCCCTTTAAGATAAATGTACTGACACAATAAACATTTTGTTTCACTTTATTCATTAGCTACTTCAATAGGTATGATGAACTAACAAGGAACATTTCTTTCCAGCATTAATCTATTTAGGATAATGTTAATTTATAAATAAAACATTGTTCATTGTTAATTCTAAAGAAATGTGAATTTATATAACTTCAAATATTCAAAATGTTTCAGTATACACTACTGTTTAAAGTTTGGGGTCTGCAAGACTTTTTAATGTTTTTAAAAAGGCCTTTATCTGAAATATTACTATATTCTAAAATAACTGTTTTCAATGTGAATATATTAATTTTAGTATGTCATTTATTTGTGTGATGGAAATACAGAATTTTCGTCCGTCTTCAGTGTCACACGATCATGTGAATATGCTAATTTGGTGCACAAGAAATGTTCCTATTATTACCAAATATTGAAAAGCTTGTGCTGCTTAATATAAAAATATTAATAATAAAAATGTAATAAATAAATGAAAAATAAAACTGCTACTGACTCCAAACTTTTTTTTTCTTTCTTTTTCTTTATTAAGCTGGACGAAACATAGATTAACAGCAACAACTTGACGTTATGACTTATACAAAAAAAAAAAAGAAAAGAAAAAGAAAAAATATATAACAAACTCATAGGCTATAAATGTATGGATGTGATCATTTAAACAGGTACAGAGGTAAGTTAAATCCATAGTTTCATGAATTGTAATAGTATTATTATTATTAATAATTAAATTTCCTTGTGTTATTGTGGCAAAAGATGAGATTATAGATGTAACTGCCCTATGTATTAAAAAGTTGTATTAAATAGCTGACTCCAAACTTTTGAACTGTGTATATGTATTTGTATTAGTGTAATGAACATTTCTAATGTGAACTAATGTGAACAAATACAAACTTATTGTAAAGTGCTACTTAAATACTATATTATAGGTTGCTTGTGGAAAGTAAATGCCCTTCAGAATGCCCTTCATATGTTCCATATGCATTTCAGAAATCCACCACAAGCTCTCACACACACTGGCCACTGAGAATATGGCGGGAATCCACGGCACTCTAAAAAAATCTATTATGGTATAAAAACGTCCCTCTGGGGACTGATTGGTTATTAGCTACTCCAACAAACTAAAGAAAAGATGGCAACAGGGGAAGTATCACAGTCTAGGCCTCTTTTGTTTGCAGATGAAGGATCAGTTGTGAGGAATGACTTGGATCTAAAAACAGCTCTAGCCAGATGAGGTCATAGCTTTGGATGTCTGTAAAGTTTGGCTTTCTCTCCATAACACTAGGCTCGGGAAGTGAAGGAAAGAGATAGAGATAGAGAGAGCGGGAGACAGAGGGAGAAGGAGAGAGGCAGGGGGGAAAATAATGGCTTTTCCAGAAGTGGTTTTGCTCCTTTCTGCTCTGGCACTAAAAAAGAAATTTGAACACTAAGGTAGGATAGGCAATGAAAATCTGGCCGCTGGTCGCAAGAAAGCTCACATTTTCCTTCGAATCAGTGAAACGGTTTAAACATTCTGTCTGTTGAACAAATAGTCTAATTATGGAATACATCAGGAGTTTATCCTAAAAATTTGTAAATTTTTGCACTTTCTAATGAATGGTTCCCTCTCAATTAAATTTATTTGACTATTTTCTCAACCCCATGTCGTTCCAAACCTGAATTCTATTTTTTTTCCCAATGCAGCACAAAAGAAGAACCATTGCACAGCTTGTGCCGTATGACAAAGTGACCACTTTTGTTAAGCTCTAAAAGCACAAAGGCTCCGTCAAACTATCATAAATGTAGTTCACATGTGGGGATGAAAAAGTCTCACATAAAATTAGGTGAAATAAAAGCAAATGTTTGCTAATTTATTTTATATTGCACAATTCAAAGTCATGACAATCATGAAAATGGGCCATATTGCCCCTCTACCATGGGGTAAGAAACCCCCCAGGCTCATCCCAGCTGTCATCTGATTGTTACAGAATATATATAAAAAAATATATATTATTTTTATGTTTTTATGCTTTTAATGTAAAATATTAAATTACATATCCTGTGAAAATTAATTTTTTTATTTCAACTCACAGAATCACAGTCAAAAAATACATCTGAACACTATATAATTCTATGAATTAAAGACGGGCCTATAATTTATTTATTTATTTTTTTTTTAAAATAAAGACATTGTCATAATTTCAATAAACTAACAATTCACAATGAATGATTCCATTCAGCTGACCTATAGGTTATGATGAGTAGTGAAATTTGAAATCCATTATTATAAAAACTCATAAATTACAATATTTATCAAAAAAGAGACACACACACACCAGTATAACTACATCCCTCTTGCGGCATCTTACCCTAAGAGTCTAACTCAATTCTAAATGGATCACCGAGTCCACAAATCCCCAATTTAACAAACAGACAATTTTCTGAAGCCAAATAATAACTTTGGTGGGGGAACAGACCAAAATGTAAGTCATTATTCACTGCTAATTTACAGCTCATGACACGAAGGTGAGAAAATAATAACATTAGATTTTTGGGAGAACTATTTCTTTAATAAACCAAACTCTCCAGCAACTTTCTGTTACCATGCATCCATCTTACCATTTTGGGACAGAAAACGCTCTTAAAATTATATTAAAAACTAGGAGGGAAAACCTCACCAAACTAAATTCACAGAGAGCACTTTGTACTCAGAGTTGGTGAAATAACACAAAGATGGTCAATTATTCATGGAAATCCCTGAAGCATATGAAATATTAAGGCAGGCTACAGCACTGATGTCCTTGGAGGGCAGATCACGGAGGGCACCTCAATCCACAGCACAATCCACAAAACCTGAACCGTGACGAGCAACGCCATCAAGAAGAGTCCGAGATATAGAGAGAGAGAGAGATGGGAGCTTACTGTGGCTGTGCCGGAGACCGCCTGTATGCTGTTGTCTGGTCCGCTGGGCTCACTGTGCGTCTGGGCAGGGGGGTACATGTTCAGCGTGTGCTCTGCCACGGGGGTCTGGCCCGAGTAGTCTGGAGTCGGGTGAGGGTGGGACGGCGTGTACTCAGCAGGAATGCCGTTCTGAGGGGGAGCGAACTGGGCCGATGGGTAAGGCTGGGCCATGGTTTCTGGGGGTGCTGGGGCGTCTTGATTACCCTGAAAAACAGAGAAACACAGCAAAATGTTAGTGCCAAATTAGAATAATTCACTAAATGACCAAAAGTATGTGGACACCTGAACAGCCCATCCATATCTGCAATTCATTTCAAAACACTGGACATTTGGTGCCCTTTTAGCTGCTACAGTAGCTATTTTTGCCAACTTTATTGTTTATAAATATGCTTCATGTGAGTTGTGGGGATTTTGATTCATCTTAGCTTTTTTAACCCACCAAAATGATTCTTTCAGGTACGTTCACTGACCCTTCATGCAGGTTACATAGTTAAACCAGGAGATTGTGACAGTTTACAGTAACAGGTATTTTTTATGCCACAGATATGCACAAGTAAATCATTGAATCATTTGACTCATATCGATTTAATCGATTCATAAAAAAGGCAAGTCTTAAAATCCTTCATTAAAAAAAGAGACTCAAAAAGAGCATTTAGACATCCTAAAAATGACAACAAAGCAGATTCAACATTTTTTCCCTCTTTCATTCATAATTTGTTCACTTAAAAGATTTGTACTAAAACACTGATTCTAAAACATCTTTGCAGAAACTACAGAAACATGTTAATCTCGCTTACAACATTTAAAATATTAACAGAGATATTTACTAGTGCTGTCAAATGATTAATCACAAATGAATCGCATCCAAAATACCTTTTTGTTTACATAATATACTGTATGTGTGTGTACTGTGTATATTTATTATGTATATATAAATACACACACATACAGTATATATTTAGAAAATATTTACATCTATATATTTATATTCACATAATTTATATTATATATAAATGTATTTAATATATGAACATAACATATTTTTCTTAAATGCATGTGTGTGTATTTATATATACAAAATAAAGATACACAGCACACACACACACATATTTTGTAAACAAAAACTTTTATTTTGGATGCGATTAATCACAATTAATAGTTTGACAGCACTAATATTTACATATACTAAAAACATGAATAACATAGTATCTTTGTTTAATGTTATTTTTGGTAATAAAAAGACACCATACAATTAGAACTTGAAATCACACTGTGCACAGATGAATTTAAGACATTTACAGTTTAGCCATATGGGCTTTAGACTCAATAATCCGTCATAATTTTAAATATGCTTCTGAAAATATCACTTTAAATATTCACTTTTGTGTTTTTTTTTTACTATTATTCAGTAAAATTCATTGTCGTTTTGAAGTTATTTTTCGGCTTCATCCCTATTTCACCCTGAGACTGCATCATGGGATTTGCTCTCATTAAGACACAAGAGGTCAGACATGCTTGTATGCATGGCTTTATGCATCAAACATGCTCATTATAAGGGGGTTTCCACATACTTTTGGTCTTTATATGACCACATATGCACACGCTACATCTCGCATCAGTCGTGCCCTCTGTTTGTAAACCATTAGCTAAGCACACGCTCGGCTTCAGACACAAGTTCACTCGTACAGCTGGGCCAATTAAATTAGAGTGTTAGCATGCACCGGACCGACAACAAATGAACAAGCACACCCACAGACAAATGCGTTCTGTACACAACACACTATCAGACCTTTATCTCAGGAAGAGCTTTCTTATTTGATCAGGACCAATTCATCCACCTCCCAGCACCCAGATTATCCACTTACGCGTGGAGACATCTCTCTACCCTGCGCACCAAATCAACGCTAAACCGCCACTTTGCATGCTGCGCCCAAGAGACCAAAAAGCCGGCTGAATTAGCGCTTGCTATCAATAAACAATGACAGATTAGAAGAGTGAAAACACACAACAGGCTTGGGTCATGTGATGCACGGAAACACAGATAATGAGGAATGTTTCATGAAAAATACATTCATCTAAACAGCTGTGTGGATTTGATGGGGATACTATTTGTTAAAACTTCAGGTGATGATAGCTTTATTTGTCTGGGTTTTGTATAACCAGATGGTGTGTTTTTATTCTGTACAGCACACTGGAAAATTCAATTTTTCAGAGGTCAGTGTTATTTTGGTATTATTTATATACTATTATAGAATTTATTCATATTTTGAATTAGCTTTTCTGTGTTTATTTTAATTTTAGTTTGTTTTAATAAGGTGAGTATGTGTATCTTTTTAAATTTTTATTAGTTTCAGTTTTTTTATTTCTACTTAACTTTATATTTTACAAATTTTTTTTGTCATTTTTGCACTTTTCAGTAACCAGTTAATTTATGGTTTTTAAGTTTGTCACTTAATATTAACAATTTATTTTATTTCAGCTTTAATTCAATTAATGGAAAAAAATAGCTTTAGTTAACAGTAACAACACTGTCAGAGGTTTCAAGCAATAACCAATATTTGAGATACGAGTATAGAAGATTTGAACCCTAACCCTAACCCTAGACGATTTAATAAGAAGTGTTTGCATTCATATCTCGACTTGAAGGAATTCATCTTCAAAAAAAGACTTGGCTAGATTCAGGTGTGCTCACATTTTTCAAGGTACCAAAATTCTGTCCTCATTTACCCACCATTATATCATTCCAAACCTGTATGATTGTCTTCATACAATAAAAGTCAGTATAGTTCAAACCAACATTAGACCTCACTGACTTTATTTTATAGACAAAAAGTGTTTTTTTTCTTCCCCTAAATACCTTCTGTTCTGCAGTAGAAAGAAAGGCTTACAGGAATGTGAGTAAATTATGACATAATTTTCATATTTGGGTGAATTATTCCTTTAAGATGTGCTTTCCATTTAATCCTACCATAGTCTAGAAGAAACAACTGAGATATTAGAGACAACTAATTTGTGATTTTCCCTACTTACAGGAGGAAACACTTCGTGACACACTTCATACACGCACACACATCTCTTTCTCCAAGCCAAAGCAGGAGTTATGTAGGCAGAGAGATCCCATCACCCACAGGCCTGTCGAGAACACACTCTGACACGGGACAACTGCACATGCTAAAACAAAGCGAAACACACTCTCCCACCACTTTCTCTCCTCTGACCATAATGCCACACTACACAGAAACACCCCCTACGTGTAAAGCGTAGGATAAAAGGAGAGAAAGTCCAGAGCTCAATCTGTAATTTAAAGGAATATTCCAGTCTAAAATTTAAATCTGTCATCATTTACTCATCCTCATACTGTTCTAAAATCGTAAGACTTTCTACACATTAAAAAAGGATACAATAGTTTTGTATGAGGAAAGGACTAAAACAGTTCTTTTGAGTCAAATTGTTTCAATGAATCAGTTTTGCAAAACTGGACTAAATAATTTGTTCACAAATCAGACTGAATGAACTTCACATCTATTTCAATGATCTGGTTGTAATGGTTAAAAGTCCACTGGACTGGAAGACAATACATTTTTGGTCTGTTCCCCACACAAAGTTATCATATTACTAATATAGTGCATATACTGCGTATATACTGTAGAAGGAATATAGACTCATATGGACCACATTTATGACACTTATAAATGACAGGTCCAGTTCTCATTCACTTCCATTATATTGTGAATTCCTGTAGCTCAAACAGTAGAGCATGGCACTAGCAATGCCAATGTTGTGGGTGTGATTCCCCTGGAGTGTATAAACTAATAAAAATGTATACCTTGAGTGCAATGGAAATGGCTTTGGATAAAACTGTCTGCCATATGTTATAAGTTTAAAATACAGAAAAGAGCAACCAGGATATTCTTCAAAAATTCACCTTTTGGGTTCTCCAGACATCAGTCACACAGCTTTGGAACGACATGTAAATAATGCCAAGATTTTCATTCCTGGCGAGTCGAACGTGTCGAGGAGAGCCAGGAGGGAAGCCGCAACTTGCTACTCTGTAAACGGGACCTTGTAAAAAAAATCCCTGCTGTTCCTTAAGCAGATGTTACACACATCACGCTGTTTCCCATTAACACCATCAGCACTTCGCATAGCGCATTGATATTCAAGAGCGGGCACACCACACCATAATTAGACTATCATTTGATCAGGAGTGCTAAACTATTTATGCACAAGTGTCAAAGACGTTAAGGGGAGGGTGGAAGGAAAGTTAGCGAAAAGACAGAGGTGCCTCCGCGGTGTGGGAAGCCCCTGTCGGTGCAGAGCTCTACTTTTGCGGTCATTATAGTCGTGCAGTCACTGAGATTTTTTGGAGGCCCTCATAAAATAGCTGCTGGCAAACACTGGGAGAAAAAAAGCAATGGCAGACAGTCAGGCTTAGCTAAACGCTTTGGCCTCCACCCTAATGAGAACCACATTTGGAGGACTGAAATATGTTTAACGTGGCAGCGTGCTGGATTCATCACTTCACTGCGCTCGGCTTCCAGGCATACACTTACAAAAAAAGTGCCTTTGTTTTGGTAAAGGGCTTTTTATGACTCTTTGCAAATATAATTTCCCACACAACGAGGCTACTCCTCCCTCGCTCCGTAGTCATTCTAAATTTCGCAAGCACGCGAATAGACACGGTTCACGGTCGCACTGAGATCAACCGCACGCTAATGCCTTAAAAATGATGGAAAGCCAGGTGGAGCACAGCAGCACTAAAGCGGTACGTGTCGGAACGTTTTGGGCGGTAGTGTTTGACTATTACGCAGTCAAATTAACCGTTTGAAGAGCAGCGCGTCTAACTCTCGTCTGCCTCTCTCACTCACTCTCTCAGGGTGGATGACAGAATCTGGCTCATTTAAATATTGGTGGCTACCAAATTTGTGAGTTTAGCCACCTAGACCGACCCGAAATGGAGCTTGGAGATGGACTGGAGAGAAACGAGAAAGAAAGTCACGATGAAACGTGTGAAAAGAGAGATAGAAAGCAAAACAGCTGCTGATAAGGCAGCCTGAAAAAGAGTTGCTGAAGGGGGCTCCCTCTTTCTTCAAAGCGCACGCTCTCTCTCACGCACACGCACACACACACACACACACACACACTGGAACGCTGTCATACACAAGCCACCCGCTCTACTGTGCAGCCACAGCACAAAAGGAAGA